ATCTGAGAGAACTGTCATTTTGCATCCATAGGGTGGCACTATGCTATTCTGTAAAATGCATGACATAGAACCAACACAGGATTTTGTTTTAGTTATCCTTTTCTTTTTTCTGTTTCCCCATTTTATGACAAGTGATTTAATGCTGCTCCCTAATCTCTGGTTTTCACAAAAGCTGCCATATTGCCGTCTGCAAGAAAAAGGCAATTGATTTTTCTACCCCGCTAATCCTTATGAATTAACCAAAAATAATTAAGGCTGTTCTTGTCACTTTTTTTAAACAACAACATGATTTATCCATCTTATGGTTATTTTGTCAACAATAAATGTTCTGAAAATGATGAGGATGAGGAATTTAATATTAAATATTACAGCACAAAACTGGCCCTAAAATTGTTCTATAGCCCGAGGTTGTGTGCCCTTCTCTTTCAGCAGAGTTGAAACAAAAAGAAACTTTGAATTATTTATTGCTTACATATTTTAAAGTTTAATGGCTTGAATTCCATACTCATTAATATTGTTAAAAGAAGATGAGCAGTGTGTCTTCGCCTTTCCCTTTTTTTGTAATAATACTTAAGACACTTAAGGAAAAGTTAGTTTGTTGTCTTAAATTGTCAAAACCTGTCCTTGCTTACTTAAAGGATCTCTGTTGTGATTCACTGCCATTTCCAACCAGGAATTCAATTCAGTTTCTATGAAAGACCTATGTGTGTATATAATGAGAGAATGAGAGTCCAAACAGCTGATAAAAGGATAATAATAATCCACATGATGCCAGTCCATCAATTAACATCTTGTAAAGAGAAAAACTGTGCGTTTGGAATAAACAAATCCATTAATAAGAGGTTTTAACTGTTGCTTCTGACCAAAATATGAGATCAAAATCCATAATTACCCTTCCTCAAGTGAAAGGCCGTAAAAAGTGTTTTCCTCTCACATCAAAATACACCAACATATTTGTTTAAAACACAACTGTTTGTTTTGGACTGTTTTCACTTGTAAACAGTGCATTATCTGTGCATGTTTCACTCCTGATTCATGACTATTTCACTGGAGGAAGCATAGAGGACTCGTTTGAAGTAAAAACATCTTAATTTGTTTCTTAAAAACACCCAATGTTTCTCTTCATAAAATGTTAATTGATGGACTAATTGATGTTAATTGATCATGTGGATTATTTGTGGATTATTGTGATGTTTTTTCTTTCTTTCTGCTGTTTGAACTCTTATGCTGACGGCACCCATTCACTGCAGAGAATCCATTGGTGAGTAAGTGATTTAAAGGGATAGATTACCCAAAAATGAACATTTTGTCATTAATTACTCACCCTCATGTCGTTCC